AAAAAAAAACAAGGAGCACAGTTCCTGTATCTGTACTGGCAATTTGATATATTAGATTTCATACAACTTACATCCTGAGTCAAGTGTGTTAAAGCTGTTGTTTGATTCTGAAGTTTTCGTGTAAGGCTACAAATGTTTTGCCCTCTAGCAAAATGTCACTTAATTCTTAACACTTCTCTGGAATCTATAAAGTAATTAGGTGTTTTTGTAATCTGGAAAATGCAAACTGGCTTGTCACCTTAAGAGAAGAGAACTGGGGAAATACTAAAGAGAAAATTGTGCTGAGTGCTATTGGATTAGAGAGTGAAAAGTGTAAAGAAGACCTGGTAATCTATGTGTTCTTTTGAAGAATGCAGGAGTGCCTCTAACATGGAATATATAAACCTGTAGCAAAAGACCTGAGCATGAAGATCTCTCTCTGATGTTGTGGTAGTCACTAAAAAACAAACAAAAAACCTAATTTTTTTTGACAGTGCCATTGTTGTGGTTTAACCCCAAAAAGCAGCTCAGCCCCACACAGCTGCTCACTCACTGTCCCCAGGTGGGAGGAGATGGAATCAGATTATCATTTGCAGGAAGAACTGGTATTTTCTAAGCGGTTGAAAATACATTTGTTGTATATTCTCCAGGCTGCTACTCACAGCATTTTAAGTTTTAAATTTAAAAAAAAAAAAAAAAAAAGTGGTCTAAATCTGTGCAAATCTGTGCATCTGTAGGGAGAGTTACATTGGTTAAAATGACTTAGGGAGGTGGTAAAGACCCTCTAGCTCTGCTGGTACCATTTTTTTATTTTTATTTTTTTTTAATTGCATGAGTCTTGATCTCCTCGCTGGTTTTGGAAGAAAAAAGGAACCACAGGTGTCTTGGAAGTGGCCTAAATTTTAACAGCAGCAAAAGTGAAATAAAAATGCATTAGATACCTGGTGATGAGATGACAAAGGTGCAAAAGGCAGGCAGGTGCAGCATATCTCATCTGAAGTGTATGCTAAGTGTTGGGCTCACAGAGTGAAGCAGCCTTATGTATTTTTAGAAGTGTGAGAATTGTTATGGGAAGCCAGATCCTTCTATATTTCTCCTCTGCTTCCCTTTGGAGGCTCTCACGTTCCCCATGCTTTAATTTCAAGCTCCAATGTATTCTGTTATTTAAGAAAAATATTGTTAGCAGTGCTTGTAACTTCACTGCTTTGTCCAATAGAAGAAAGCAGGCGCAGGCAACTTTTTACTTTTCCCCATCATACAGTGGGAGTCCAATGGCCAAGAAGAAAGCCCTTGGGTAGGGGTGTCTACCAGCATGCAGTGAAAGCTCTACCACATGTTGTTTCAGCAGGATTGCCTTTTTTTTTTTCCTGACATTGTCCTGTTGTGAAGGGAGGTGTATACTTGGCTGCCACAAATGCAAACTTAAATTAACTTGCACTTTCACCTGTAACAGTCACAGGTCAAGGATGGCCTGGATGTTGTACTTTCATTTTTTTCAAGGCAGTCCGCTTTCTGTCTTAAAGAAGATTCATGCTTCTCTTCTTTATTGATCACTGTGTCTGTAGGATGAGAGGAATTTGTAATAAATAAAATGCTCTGAAAGTAAGTATTTCTCTGTGTGCTTGTGCACTAATTAACATGTATTTGAAATAAATACTTACAATACAGCTAAAAATCTTGTAAAGTACATTCTTGGAATATTGTTTTTAGCAGTCCAGCTGAGGATGTTTTAAAGAACTTCAGCCAGAAAAGATTTGTGTATTTAGGACCAATCTCTAACAGGAATTATTTTCTGAACTGTTCAAAAGATGGTTTGTGATATGTTTAAGGCTAGTGCTTTCATGAAGTGATCAACTGCAAAGCCAATGAGGGTTTTGTTGTTGTTGTTGTTGTTGTTTGTATTTTGTTTTTTAGATTCGAGTATGTTGAAATGAATGTCGTAATACTTACAATATTTACGATTACTGAAGTTCTTGGAAAAAATTCATTTATATTCAGGTCTGCAGTAGTAGAAATTCAATCAGTGTTCATAGTGGGTACTTGCAAAGGCCGTGGGTTCCTGCAGCCGCTTCTGGAAGGTTAGGCTCATCTTTGATCACATGTAGACAAAGGAACTATGTTATTTATTTACTTTCTTTCTGGAGAAGTCATCAGGAACAATCCAGCTCAAGAATCTGTAATTTAAATCTTTCTAGTTTCAAATTTCTGAGATTGTTTTGATAAGGGAAGAGTGCAGGAGTGGCAAAAGCGGAGGAGTACAAGTTATACAATAGGGAGGGCCTATAATAAACAGAAGTTAAGAAATCCACTTTTTAGAAAGGCTATTTGGAACAGTCAGTCAGGCAAACCAGCTGCTGCGTTGGGCTGCAGACTTGGGGAAGGCCGATGGCACTTGAATTGAGTGGAAAGAGGTCTAGACATGAGAGAGAGTGAGTAGTGAGCTATGATTGTAGTCTGATTTCAGACCTGTACGGCTTGGCAGGTCATAGTATTTTTCAGTAGGAAATATGTGCAACTCAACCTCAACGAATGTTCATCTTTTTCTCATAACATTCTTTAACTGTTCTCTTTGGTTGTGCTCCCAGTTCATTCCAGAAGGCGGCTTTCTTCAGACTGTGTTTAAACAGGATGCCTCTGCCAAGTGTCAGGTCAGTGATTTAGCTCTCTTAGCAAGTATTTTCTACTATTTTATTTATTCTAGAAACTTCTAACCATCACTTTGTAAAATCACAAAGAATGGCTGAATCGTATGAGTTTCCATCTCAGTGCAGAAAAGGTAGGCCTGAGCACCAAACTGAAGAGGACTAGCCCTTTCTCAGATACTTTCTGAGCAGCTTTGCTGACCTTTACTACATACCTCTTTCCTGCTATTCTGCCAGAAGCATTGCCAGCATCATGTCTTATGAAAGTCAGTAGTAGAGCAAATTTTCATAGAAATCTGCTGCACCAGTCGTTTTCATGTTTTCTAGAGGCAGTAATTATTAACTTTTTCATAGCAGTGAACAAATAAGTTTGTTGGAAAGCTTTTTTTCAGCGAAATGTGTTAGAGTGGATATATTCAAGAGAAATTCAGGCCAGATAGTTGTTTTGTTGCAGCAGCAGTTTATTCCCATGTGCTGCCCTTGCTGGGAAGGAAGTAACAATAAAGTTGAAAGATATGATACTGGATAAAATACTGCCAGTCATAGTTCATAAAGCACTGAAAATGGGCAAGGAGTGGTGGGAGACACAAGAGGCCCTCAACAGATATCTTTCATTGGTGCTATTCCAGTGTAAGAAATATTCTGTGGATAAATGTCATGTGTGTGTAAAATGACTCTACTATTTCCAGTGCTGATGCAGGAAAGGGTTCTGACCAGACACCTATCCCTGTTTACTGGGAATAAGTTTGTGGTTCTCCCTGCCAAAAATATGAGTAGAAAAAACTGGATCATCTAAAGAGTTGTGTTTATGTATTTCTTTGGGGCTGCACAGAAGCCTGTTTGCTCTTCAGTACAACTGAGTTGGTAGAATGTGGTTCATATTAGTGTCTAGGGTCAGAATAGGACCACTGATCTTCGAATGTCTGGTCATGTTCTAACCTGCCAGCAGTCCAGTGTTCAGTGTCTTCATTTTACATGGGATTTGAAGAGGGTATGTTAGCATAACCTGTACAAGAGAAAGGACAGAACTGGAAACAGTGTCCAAGATCTTAGAAGACTGCTGAATAATCTTTCAGGTAGAAATGTGTTGGAAAATCAGAGACGAGCATGCATACAGTCTTCAAACTGGCCTAAAATGTTTTTTAATTGGACAATTTGCAGAAAATGATACTATTATTCCATTATGCCTCTCCCAGATATTTAAGGGCAAAAAAGAAGTATTTTCTCTGGCAAGACTTGAGCTTCAGGCTGTAGATCAAACAGGTTGAAACATTTTTCTGACCTCTTTTTTTTCTTCTTCAAATAATCCTTTTTTTTTTTATTGATTCTTTTATATTCCCATCAACGTTATTCATATTATATTTCAAAGTGGTCTGGCCAACAGTCTTGATACAGAAACAAAAGTCTTGAGTACTGGTTAACCAAGCTAGTAAGAGATGCATATTTTCATCCTGAAGCATGATGTTGTCCTTGCAATATGTTATAGGTGCTTTGTCTCTATTTTACTGGCAGTTTCCAACACTAAGTACTTAAATGCTAATTCACTGGCTTTGAGCTCTGTCAGCCCTTCTTTTCTGGAGCTGCAACTGAATCAGTGTCCAACAAGTAGCAACGTTAATCATTACTCCAGTGTACCTGATTGCAAGAGGGAATGGAATTGGGATTGCTTGCATTTACTTAAAGCTGCATCTGTCTTTGATTCTGCAAAACTGTGTCCTTAAAACTGTACTGCTGGAGAATGCAGCTGTTTTTTACATTGCTGAAAGTTGGCTGACATAGCAGTAGCATCCAGACTTTCTTGGATGCTTCATGAAACATCATGATAAAAATACAGCACTGCTAGTGCTTCTAGTTTGTTATTTGTGGAGGTGCAATTACTAAAAATAATTCTTTCTCTCATAAGAACTTTGCAGAAACAATAGTGCAGAAAATTTATCTGTGATCTACAATTGAAAAGGGCCAAGGAGGTTTCTGTATAAATAAATATCTTCCGTGATGATCCCCTCAGTCTCAGCTTTGATATGCTTTAGAGTAAGTTAGGTCTAAGCTTTTTTTTGTAGCAGGGAAAACCTCAAGAATGCGAAGTTGGATGTAGGCGATGCAGACACAAGTCTGCACAGAACTTGTAGTAATAACAATGGGAGTTGTGAATTGCTGCCCTAATCTCTATTGGGTGTTAGTTCAAATATTCAGCAGTGATGTTTAATTGTGTGTTAAGTACTTCATTCCTTAAGATTAACAAAAAAAAAAAAAAAAAAAAAAGGGGGAGGGTAGGGTGGGGGAGAGCTGCGTGATGACTAGTGGGAGGCATTTCATTTTGATGGCTTGAGCTACTGAGACTTGATGTTTGCTTCTGGTTGTCTGTTTGGTTTATTCCTTAAAAAGTAAGGTTTGGAAGTCCAATATTAAGCCTTGGAGGAATGGGAACCAAGGAGTCTGGCTGAAAGCTTTTTGGCAGCTTTCAGAGGTGTGGTTTATCCTGTAGATGGAAATCCTACCATCCTTCATCTCCATTCCTAGTATGACTAACATTAAACAGGAAAGCATTGCAATTTTTTTTTTCTCCAAACGAGGCAAATATGAAGCTACTCCTGAGCAATTTTGATTTGTTTTCTTGCCCTTGTGCCCATCATCTTTCTTAATCCTTTTTCTTTCGACTAAACTGTTTTGAGCCTGATCAAACAGGACTGTGCTCACCAATCTGTGGATATGAGAAATAAGAAACGTGAAAATAAGCTTCTTCAGGAAGGAAGAATTAGATCTCTGTCCCTTTGTTGGGATCCTGTGCTATCTGAAGGTGAGGGTTTGAAGGTCAGTAAGGTGTTTTAAATGTAAAGTGGTATTAGTGGAATTAGGTAGAATCGTACAATGGTTTGGATTGAAAGGGACCTTAAAGCCCATCCAATTCCAGTCCCATGTTGTGGGCTGGCAGCCATCCACCACCTCATCTTCCCGGGGACCCATCCAGTCTGGCCTTGGGCACTTCCAGGGTTGGGGCACTCTCAGCTCCTCTGGGCAGCCTGTGCCGGGCCTTACCACCCTCTGAGTGAAAAATTTCCTCCTAGTATCTAACCGAAATCTCCCTTCTTTTAATTTAAAGCCATTTCCCCTTGGCCTATTGCTATCACACCATGTAAAAAGTGAGCCTCCCTCCTGTTTATAAGATCCCTTTAAGTACTGGAAGGCAGCAGTGAAGTATCCCCGGAGCCTTTTCAAATCTTGGGCTCTACAGTAAGTTAAGAGTTGGTGTTCTATAATGGAATTATACTTTTCTACTTCTAGAGAGAAGCAAAAAACAGCAAAAGAAAATTACTTATTCTTCCATAGCATTTTGGGTAACAGCATTAGCTAGGACTGGTAACTGTTCTAAAGATGCTCACAAATTAAACCTGGCAAGTACTTAATTTTAAATTTCCCTAAAATTGCTTGTTTTATATTCCACAGAATTACATGAACTCTATTTGATTGCTTAAAATATTATTTTAAGGTTTTATATATTATACACTACTTATCATGCCAAAGTTGTTCCTACCAATGGAGTAGCCTATGGCTGATTTCTATAGCTGTACAAGTTCCTTGGCTTCAAACATTTGTGTGCTGCTTTTTTGTTTTGTTTTATTTTTCTAGAAGCAAGTATGTTAAAGTGAATAAGCCTACTTCCGTGAAGCTCATTCTCTCTTTTATTAAGTGTTTCATTTTGTTCATGCAGTTTTGTCCCACTCAATGGCCTTTCTCCATCTGTAATACTGATCAGAAGCCTAGCAAGCTAAGAAAATCCAAACAAAAGCTAAAAGTCTGTTTTAGCTTCTGTTACCACTGCATCAACTGCTATGTTTTGATCATACATGTTAGAAATAGACAGCCTACATGCTTCTGGCAGCTTTGTACATCAGGTGAATCCAGTCAGGCTGAAGTTGCCTCTGGATCAGTCACACACTCAAATTGTTCTTGTAAGAATAAGGAACATGTAGTAGGGGTATCCATAAAGTGGTCCACACCTTCACAATTTTTAAGTATGAAAGATAACAGATTACACTTCAAAGTAATAGAAATTAAAGAAGGATTCTGTTTTTCAATGATTTTTTTGTTTGTTTTTTTTAATTACTTATCCACTTTTCAAAATTTTCCCTTCAGCCATGAAGCCTCCACATCTTTAAGAACCTGAGAGAAAGCATCTTTAAGCTAGAAAGACATTAACCTTGGAACTGAGGTGACAAAAAGGTTTTCCATGCTCCTTTCTGTCCTTTTTCTGTCAGAAACTGATTACTGCTTGTGCACATGCATACATGGACAGGAAGTTTTTCATGTGTTTGCATGCATACTTTTGTATGCTCAGGATTTCAAATAATTTTATGAAGCAGTTGCCAACAAAAGGCAATGCAGCTTTATGCTTCACAGTGCAATCTAGAGCAACCTGAATCTGTCTTATAAAGAAGTAGATCATAATGCTGAAAGATTCATCTTATACAAAAAAAAAAAAAAAAATTCATAGGAAACTTAACTGTTCAACTGATGTCACTAATCTTTTATTAGGTAGAAGCACTGGAACTTCTCTTGTGATGTTTTTAAAATCGGCCAGAGCCAGTTGTGTTTGGTGTTTCGTACAGAACAATTATTAGCATCTCAGCCTACTTTTTACATTGGCCAAAAGAGTTCTTTAATTCAGATCTAGGGGGATTTAATTTTTTTCTATTGTTTAGCTGCAACTAAGAATGATCACACTTCTTTCTGTTTCATTAAATGCCATTTTATAATTTTTGTGAGAAGAAATCTTTAAATGCTGTAGAAATTACATTTCTAACTTTTGTAGCATATGCTCCTCTTTTTAAGGTTATAAATTCTATTTCTGAGGCAGTACCTTACATTTCACCCTTAAGATTTTCTGTCTCTGATGTCTATGGAAGCACTGTGAAAATTTTCTGATTGGAAATATACTCCATTAATTTTTGTTTATTCTTTAAATGTTAGCAATATTGTTCTGTGAATAGACTTTTGAAATTACTGTAGATTCTATTTTAAATAATAAACCTTGCCTGTTTTTCTCATTTTTTCCCCAGAAGTACCAAGTGAAACGTTGCCGTAAGTATGAACACTGCGCATCTGCTCACACTGGGTTGCATTCCCACAAAGCCTGTGTGTGGATGTTAGTCAAGCATGTGCTTAAATACTGCAGTCAGTGCTTATAGGTGGTCCTGATTTTGTATGTGTTATGTGTCAGGATTCTGCTAGTGATAGTAGCAGCAATTTAGTCTTTTGTCAGTGGGATTATGATTGCTTCCCTCTCTTCTTCCAGGTAGAAGGAGTGATATGAGTTGTTGCTACTGCTGCTGCTTAACAATTTTGAAACCACCAAAGCGAGAATATTCTCTTTTTTGCTGGTGCTGGAGTGCAGTCAGTTTCCTAAAACTTACGGAGAAAGATTTTGGTTTAGAACCAGGGGCTAAGCTCAAGAGTTGAATAACCCAAGACAGGGAATTTAATAAACTTAAGCAGGATTATTAAACAGGCATATGAAGGGCTTTGTAGGACACTGGAATAATCATAGAGGAAAACTAGTAGGGCCTTGGCACATGAGACTGCGCAGCAGGAGAATGGCTGTAAAATGCCACTTTATACTTCTTGAAGCCATTGCAGTTTTCTTGCAGACAAGCATAACTTCAATGCACTGACTTCAACGCTTCTGCAGTTCACTCTCTTAGGATTTTAAGCCCTTCTCTTTACAACCCCTTTTAACTTCAGTGTACTTTGTCTACCCTTTAAAATCCTTCACCAAATTTGTAGCAATGCTTTCTGTGAACCAACTTAGGAGGGCAGGAATTTAGCAGAGGAAAAGCTAAGGTTTGTAAGTCTAATCACTACTGTTGTCAGTGAGCAGCTGCTGGGGCATAGCAGCTGAGAGAAAAAGGCAGGGCCTTTTGTCCTGAGATTGGTTTGCTCAGCAGGATCTCCCTTGCATCATTATGGATTTTCTTAGTTTTGTGAATTCCTTCATTCCAGAGCTCCTACCTGAAAATTTCTAAGCAAAGATTCAAGGAGGGAACATTCAAGAAGTACATAGTTTTGCAGGAGGCTTCAAAAATGAATTAAAATTCATGTTGTGTGCATTTGTCAACTAGTAACTGAGTAATTTCTTGGAGTAGCAGGTACATCAACAGGATGGTAACTATAAAATCTGTATCTACATGTCTACGTGAGGTCCTGTGATCTTCATGAGGGCTCTGCCCCAGGAACAAAATAGCAAGTTCTTTTTCCCAGCAGTTACAGGTAAACCCTGTTGTTTTGGGTTTTTTTTCCTGTTATTGGACATGAAACTCGTTGTACTAGATAAATGTGTCTTTATTTTTCATTATTTTTATTTTTAGTTATTATATTGAATTGTGCTTCATCATTCAAATATTGCTCACCTATTTACTGTCACAAAAGAGAAGTTCACTTCCTCATCCAAATGTTTCCTTTGCAAGATTTAGAGAAAAAGCATGTTCTGTTTACTTTGTGTCTTAGAGAACTTTCAGAAGACTCTAGTTTTTTTTGCCTGTGTGTGTGTGTGTGTGTGTTTAATGAAGTAAGAAAGGAAGAAAAGAAAGGAGAAAAAGAAATGGGATGTAAAGGTGTCCTGACTTTGTAAGAATCAAATTGAGAAACAGTTCTTAAGAAGCTATGAATGCTTTCCCCTTGACTCTTAAAATATTCTTTTAGCTTTTCTCTTTAAGAGCATTAATGCATGTGCAAGACACTAGTGCGTTTAATAGTAGAATATTAATGTCTTTTCCATGTATTTTATAAGTTCTGCTGTCTTATAAAACTTGAGATCTTTTACTGGAGTGGGGGTGGTGAGGAGTAAAAAGCATGTTTACTTTTTTTATGCTTGGAACGTTTTGTTCAACAGAATGCACGTCTGTGTGATTTCACTGACTGCTGCCTAGGCCATGGCAGGTTCTCTGAAAATCTTGATTCTGCTCAGGAGGAAGACATCCAAGAGCAGGGCTAGAGGCAGATTATGAACGCATGGGAGCAAAACATCAGTGAACTTTTGGAACTCTTCCTTGGAAGGGCTTGTGTGTTCCAGCTGTTAGACTTAGAGATGAAATATGACTCAGAGCATTAATCTCAGTAAGAACCATTGAAATGGAAAATAAATAATGTGGAGACCAAGGTGTAATTAAAAGTTTAGTGATTATGTTTCTTTTTTCAGCAAATCTTTGTACTGCTCAGAGCCAAGCAGTCTTTTAGGTACCTGCTAAAAATTCACAAAGCAATTTTTGTGGCGCTTGGTAGTAGATTATTGTTTTACTCTTAGGTAGTGACAGTTGTTCCTAATGCCAAGAATCATATTACAACTTCTACTCTTGTTAAGGACAAAGGTTGGACCAGCATCAGAGATGAAATAAAGAGAAGCAAAAAAAGTTATTTGAATTTAGCATGCTCCAGTAAGCAATACACAAGAAGGTAAAGAACATACGTGATTATTTTCTTGTATTTGGAGAATCTTGTTGGATACAGATGTGAGAGCTGTTTCCAATCTCTCATAATGTGGAATTTGTACTTTCAGTATTGGTATTTTAAAGATACTTGTGAAGTGAGTGGGTGGAGACTAAAAGAGTAAGCTGCTATGAATGTGCCAACTTTCCTAAATACTGAAGGTATTAATACGAGGCATTCCAGAAGATATATGCATGAGATATTTGTGGCTTGTCTGTTAGGTGACTTCAGCAGTCTGCGTATCTCCTACTGTGCCAGTTGTCCAACATCTGAAATTTCGCAGTATTTAAAGTCCAAACACACTGAATTGCTTCTAAATACTTGAGCTTGTTCAAGATCGCACACTAATTACGTCGTCAAGATGGGAGAAGAGCCAAGTATTTTGTCCCACTGTCCTGCACACTAACCTTACACTGCACTTAGTGCTTCTATTAATAATTATCAAGTGTTCTTCTGTATTAAAGTAGGCATTTCCTTGCATAGAATTCTACCTGGTGATCTTTTAGGGAGATAATATTTGGTACTGCTAGTACAACTCACAAAAATGTGATAATACTTAGTGAAACAAGTTAATCATTTGAGAATAGTATCTGCAAGAAATTTTCCTCATGCTTTTTAGTCTGAATTGGCTAGATAAAGATATTTTTTCCATTCTAGGGAATCTCTAGTTCAAGTATGACAGCAAAACTGGAACGTACTTCCTTGAATTAAGCTTACTCCTAGGACTTAATTGAATTAATTCAGTTTTACTGGTGGATGCTGTTTTTCTTCTTTTGACTCAGCAACTGGTTCCCAGAGCAACTGGATCCAGTGTCCAAGTGAATCATGCTTTGAACAGGTGTTGAACTAAATGAACTCCTGACATCTTTGAATTATTCTGTGTTGTCAAGAGAAGAAGAATTAAGATTCCCAATTGTGTTTTCCTTCTTAAGTCCTTCTTATTTCCTTCCCTAACTCCTCCTAGGCGATTACTTTCAAGGCTTGAGCTGATGCTTAAAAAAAAAAATTGAACAATTCAGAACTATTTTTTAATCTTATAACAAAAGTTCTTCCTTCATGCTTTCCCCTTCCCTTTGAAATAACTTTTGCTGATCTATCAGTAGTGGATTTTTAAAGTCTGAGTAATCAGTAACTCAATTAATTTCAACGTGATTTTTTTTATTGTTGTCACTGTAGTTGAAAATATCCAAGCAGCTGTGACAAATTTGGATAAGGAAGCTAACTTGGCATGCCTTCGTTCTCCATGTGTGTTCTAATGTCAGTGCATGCTGATTTGTTTTTTTTCCTCAATCTGTTATGGCAGATTTGCCTCATACAATGCTATATGCTGAAGAGAGAAAGCTTTATAGAACAGAAAATCTAGATCAAGCTCAAAGCTTGAGCAGATTTCAGATTTTCTGGTTATAAGTCTCCCAGTGATAACATTGAATTTGCACTCTTGCAAGGCAGTGGTTTCTTTAAAACTCTCAGTGTTTTCCTTGAATTGAAGTACTGAAGAACAGGACAAGTTTGACGTACTTCCTAATAAAAACACTTTATGGAAGGTTTGGGACGCAGCAATATATTCAGTTTAGGTGCAAGCTTATCTTTGCTTGGGCTGATCTGATTCTGCTGACAAAAACACCACAGCAAACTAAACCTTAGAAGTTCTTCATTTGATAGCACTTTGAAAAAAAGCCATTTAAACCTGTTCAGAATCTATTAGGAAAAGAGATACAGAACTAATAATTACTCTAGTCATAGTGCTTGTCTTCTAGAATCATGGGATTGATCTTAGAAATGCATGGGATTCTTTAGAAAGTTTCTCAATTGGAGAATGTCTTCTCCCATGGCAGAAACTCAGTTAATTAACAGGAAATGTAAGGCTCCAAGGAACTGTGGTGTGAACACACCTGCAAATCCTCCGCTATAAAGCTACAAAACGGGGGGTGAGGGGAATACCTCTGTCAGATTGTAAAAGCTGAAAATCAGCTTCCGTTTTTCTCACATTGAAACACAGAGGGAAATAATTCCATGTTGTGGTGAACTGAATATGTGGTTCAGTGTTTGGTTTGATGCGTGCTTCTCCCCAGAAGAAGAAACCGAATCCAAGAAGTGGCGCGTGTATTTGGGGATACAAACTTAATTCTGGTGTTAAAACACACAGCGTCAGAATCTTAAGGAATCGATGTATTTTCAGCAGTCATAAAAGCTGTCCCTGGGCTGCTGCTTTGCCTGCTGGGTCTGAACTGTTGTGCTTGGGCCAAGAGGTGGCAGAAGTGGTCCAGTGGCCTTCACAGAGCCTCTTGAATAGGTAGTTGTTTGCCCTGGGTCATCTCCAACACTTCCTTCCAAAGGGAAATAATGAATTGTATTGAAGTAAAGAAAAAATGAAATTACATAATAGCTTGCACTCTTTGGTTTGGGGGGCGATGATTTGTTATAGTGCTCATCAAGAGCTTGGCTCACTCAGGTTTGCTTTCCAGAGAGCTATGCAGATGATTAAGCCTTTGTGCCATGTTTTCCTAGATTTAAAATAAGAATAGCCTGTCTGTGGCTGCTCTTAATTTGCTTAGGTAGTCTATCAGCTTTTAGGTACTGTGTTTTTCACTTTTCATTTGTTACCAGTCTGGCACTGTGGGTCTTGGTTGTCTTTCTCAAGGCTCCAAGGAGCTGACATTACACCACTGGTACTCCTAATGTTTAGAAGTTCTCCAAAAACTTAAACTAATACAGAATGTCTGATTCTGTAGCTTTTTTTAATGATTCTCTGCAGGTCAGAAACATCTGAAAAGTATGTCTGGTAATTGCAGTCCAGCTGTTAAGGAACAGATATCTCTGTCTTGGAAAGTTTGTTTCTGCCAATTGGACTCTTTCCATGACAGTTTCATCAGCTAAGCAGATACATGCACCCTCTTCCTTGTTGTATATGAGGAAAAATTGTTTCACTAGTGGAGTGGAACTATGGAAAAGGACAGAAACCAGAATATTTGTACATCAGCTGAAAGAGATCTTCTTGAAATGTTTACAGGTTTGGGTACAAAGTCTTACACGTGTATTGGGCTTAGAAAACTTGTAATGGATCTAAATGCAGATCTCTGGATTTCTGCTCAGTTACAGATGTGTAGGTAGATGGTAAGTTAGAAGGCAAGACAAATACATCATATTGAAGGTAAGAGAATTATAGGGCTTTTTTGTAAATGCTGAAAGGAATATACTGATGCTAGCTTTAGGATACAGGTTTCTGAAACCCGAAATGTACATTTGAGTGAGAATTACAACTAACACTAGAAATGGCTGTTTCTGCCAGATAACTGCCAATTATTGGACCCTGACTTGCTGATATTACAAATAAGTAGGGTGCACAAAATAACTAGCTTCATTTAGTTTAGGAACAGAAGCTGGTTATTTCATTGCTGTTGTATAATATTTGCTGTGATCACACCCAGAACAATAATGAGGGCTTATGCCAAACAGTATGATATAAATGATCTTTGGATGTGAACGCAGGTTGGCTCTTGTCTGACTACAAATTTTCAGAAGATTTGTGCGCTTGCAGAGGTTTGACTTCTAATTTCAGGGGCTTTTCCGGGTCATGTTAGTGTGAAGATGACCACAATACACCACATAAATGAAAGATGTGAATTTAAAATATGCTCCATGATCTTGTGTAGGCCACATCAGCACCATCAGTAGAAATATACCGTTCAGGAATCTGGCGTTCTGCTTCATTCTCTTCTTATCAGAGTGTTGAACAGTGAGAGGCACAATACCTTCCAGTGGAAATTATTCCAAAAAGTTCCATG